GTTCTTCCTCTTCGGGTGCTGGATCCGACTGCGAGAAGGTGCTCCGACTGTAACTCTTCTGACTTCAAGGGTAAGGATGATGCTCTGATTGTAGCTTGACCTCAACGAGTTTCCATCCTTTCTGATACCAAAATTAGTTGAGATGTACAAAATGTAAACTTTTATTAATATAAAAATAGTGGTACAACACAACTCAACAACAGGAAAATACTATAATAGACAAAACCCTAGCTAGAGCTATAGGAGGAGATTCAAAGGTGGTAGCGGTGTCGGCGGGGTGAGCGACCATTGGGTAGTTAGCTGATTGTGTATGGCTGATTGTAGGTGGATTGGATGACAAGATCAGTAGAGTGGTGGAGGAATGTGGGGGTGGTAGGTGGCTAGTGGAGTGGTAGGGAAAATGTATGGGTGAGTAGTGACGAAGGAGTTTGAAGTTTACAACACTGCTTCGGAGCAGGATACAGCCAAAACACCACTGTCGTTGGTTACAACCCTAATAAGAGGGAAGAGACTCCACACAAGAGATTAAAAGACAACTTCTAGTAGAATTGCCTCCCACACTCACATGAGACATTTATTTATAACCTCCTACTTTTACACAGAAGGAAGGGGAGTGGGAAGGTAAGAAGACTCCAGAAGAAAGACTTATCCAAAAGAAGACAACTATGGAAGGTGCGTGAAACTACCCTAGATCGCGAGGATTTGTGATCCCCTCATGTTCTCACGCGTGGGATCACGAATCTTCTTTGCTGTCCCGCGATCCTTCTCACAATCCCATCACGCTTCCCGCAATTTCGTGGGATTTCGTCCTGCAATTTTTTGTGGGGCTTTGGCCCAGTGGTTTCATAGTGCCCTGCACAGGGCGCTTTTTCTACGCTCGAATTCAGGTACTGCACCGAGCGCCCAGCGCCTGCATCACTTCATCAACCCCCCTTTGACTTCTCTTATAGCACCTGCAAACTATCTTCTCCACTGCTGCACCGGCCTTCCAACCACCTACCTGTTGTCCCTGCCTCCCGCCGGCCACCCAATCATATTGTCAAGCACATTGTGCCAAAGATCTATATCAATTTTTATTTCAGCTACATCAATGAATTTAGACATCTCATTGATTGGGTAAAGAGTGCCTTAAATGTTCCCCCGAGCAATCACTATTGTCCCTCTGGTCATGTTCCACGAAGTAGCTGTGAAGGTAGTCACATATCTTGACCTCGCAACCTAGCTTACCAAGATCAAATTTCTCTTTAAACATGAAACATATTTAACTTTGTTGAGCTTCCAGACTGTTTCATTAAACAACCCGATATGTGCATCACCATGCTTAACAATATTGTAATCGTTGTTATCTCCCAAATACACCTTCCCTAGATCACTCTGAGCTTAGGTTTTAAACACATCTTTGTTGGGGCGCGCATGAAAAAATGGTTCTGAATCTACTATCCAAGATTCAAAAAATTGGGGAGTCAACTTGGATTTCTTCTATGGAGACATTTGTAGATAACTTTTGATATGAACCTTCACCGCCAACCATCTCCAGAGCTTTCCGGTCCTTTTTAAAGTGGCCGTTCTTCCCGCGATTCCAACATTCACTTCCGTCTTTTTCTTTCTTTGACTTGGACTTTTCTCTCCTGGACTTGAATCTGTCTCTGTTTTTGTTCTTATTTAGATTTCTTCACCTATTTTCAACATTCAGCGTAGCATTTGAAGTTTTACCACTGTCCTTATTTCAAACTTCTTCATTCAACACTAGCTCTACAATGTCATCTAAGTTTAACTTCATATTATCTGAAGAGTTACCATTGTGACTAGTCCATCTCAACTGTTTGGAAACAAAGATAGAAGTAACAGTGCCCTGACCTCGTCATCGAACTTGATGTTAATAAAATATAAGTGATTAGTCATAGTGTTGAAGTAATTCAAGTGCTTAGCCATTGGATTACCATCCGCCAACTTCATATTGAACAAGCTCTTCATTATAAAAATTTTATTTGAGATTGAAGACTTATCATAAATCATTAGTAGTACAACCATGAGATCTATCGTAGTTTTCTCATTCATCATGTTGAAAGCAAAAAATAAGGCTTATCATACTTCCCATTCTTCCAAAGTTTTCAATTCAGACTTCTTGATGATTCCTTCTAGTGACGAATACTATTTCTTTTTATACAATAAATATTCAATTTGCATTTTTCAAAAAGCAAAATTCAATCGTTGAACTTCACCTTGTACCTTTCTTCGTCGGCCATTGCCCCCGCTTGAATTAGAGATTTTTAGAAAATGTAGTTTTGATACCACTTGTAATGAGATTAGGATAAATGTAAAACATTGAATCAAGAGATTCAAAACAAAATACTTGAACAGAAGCATACATCAAGTAATTCCAGAAAAAATTCGCAAATCACACCAACATTTAACATAGAAAAACCCAGGAACGGGAAAAAATCACGGAGTCAGACGACACCAAAGAATCTATTATGAAAATGCGGAAAAAATGTACAAATTACAATGCACTCGAGTCTCTACTATATTGGAACTCAAATGATACTTAAGTACGTTCATTCCTCTGTTGGGCACGAGAAATTTGCAAATGACATGCACCTAACGCTCGTTTGCACAAAGTTCTTCTTCGCGTACACACCAAAGAGAGAACTTCACACGCGACAAACTAAAAAAATCCTTCTCGCATCAAATTTGAATTTTTTAATTTTTGAACTGTAGAAAAACTACTACTAGCGCTGGGGCACCACCCTTGGGTACATGATTTTCGGACAATTGGTGCTGTGAGCGACCCCCGACACAACTACGCCCTTGCGGGTGTCGAGTTTTCCCCTTGAAACTTTCGGATGGGCGAATAGGCGCCGCATTGGCACTGGGGCAGCCCTATCCGAGCGTTGGGGCGTCTTGATCAGCCTCTGCACACAACAATGTCTATGTTAGACATATGCCAGTTACATACAACTAGAAATGCCCCAACATATGCTTGACACACTAAAAATTATGTCAACCATTTTTTTATTGTGAAATTGAAGTCCTACATTTATCGTATGCGAAAATATACAAAGTGACACTTTTTAACACTGTAGGACACGGGTCAGTTTGATACTAAAAACTGAGACTTGTACTTACGGGAGTTTTCCTACTCATATGTCGTCTCCCTCTCTTCATATCTCACATCTCCATTACCGTAACTTAAGTTGCTCTTACATCTCATTGTGGAAGTTGAAGTCAATCCTGCATCTACACCTTTTCTGAGTCATTATAGCATCTCACCCTTGAAGTCGAATTTGCGCTACATCTTACCCTCAAAGTTGGAAGTCAAAGTGGAAGACAGCTTATGAGTTGTACCTTTGCTTTGAAGTCAAAGGTATATCCCCTCTGCACCCCACTTGAGAATCTGAAGCCAAAGGTAATACAATTGTTCAAGTCTTCTTTTCCTGAAATAGCTGAAGCGAAAGCCGAGTCATAAGCTAAAATATTTCCTTCACTTATTCTATTTTTGGTTTTAATAGGTTCATGCCTTCATTTCCTAGCCAATCATCTTCTTGGCTTCACCTTTGCTTCAAAGTCAAAGGTGATAAAATGTCTATTATCTTTATTTATGTGGCGATGCACGCACTTATCCTGAGTTTTGTGGCTATGTTTATGGGTTAATTAATTATAAGTTTGTTTGCTACCATCATTTACTGTAACAATTTCATTACGCTTGATTCATTGAGTGGAATTATGTCTGTTGGTGAATTTGATTGTTGATTGATGGAATATTTATTTCACATGCTTTATTGCTTGAGTTTTGAGTTGTGATAGATTTGAAAAGAAAAAATATATCTTTGCCCTTTAATTTGAGCACTGCTTATGATTGCAAGTTTTGTAAGTAAAATACTGAGCATAAGTTCTACATTTGTGTTCACCGTTTGTTCACTAAAAACCAATTGATGTTCCAAATCTAGTGTGTTTTGAATCAATATTAATTATAGGCTGTGCTCTTTCTTTTCAATGTTTTTGTTCTCAATGAATTTTTAAGTTTCTTTAATGATTTACTAGGATAATGACTTTCGATAGGGGCACTAATATGGTTGGTAATAGTCCCATAGAAGATGAGACAATACCAATATTGGCAAAACTTTTGACAACTAAAAATGATTAATAAATATTCTTGTGAGAAGGCATTATTTTTTTATTAACCGTGTTTCTTTTATCATTATTAAGTTTATTTATAATGTTGCACTTCATTCTATACTATTTTTAGTACATAGTATTAGAAACTATATATAGTATATCAATAATTTATAAGGAATAAATCACATAATGACACCTGACTATTTGTGTGCGATCGATTTAGTTTTGCATTTTTCTAGTTTAATTTATTGACTATATATTTGATCAAACATAATCCTTTATGTAGAAATTATGATACAAAGTTGATCTTAATTTAGTCTCAGCTATACAAGATTGGTCCCATTCTTGTCCAAGATGGATTATTTTGGATAATTTTGTAGAATCGAGGGACTAAATTGGAGAATTGTGATGTTTTCAGACTAGATTGGCCGCATATGAATGGATAGGGAGTATTTTGAAAGTTAACCCTAATTTGTAAAGTATAAAAATATGTTTGTGACGTGTAATTTTTGTAGAATTATAATGTGTCACGGTGTCCTGTACCTGCGTCTACATGGGTGCTTCATAGATGTCAACTTGAATCTAAACTCTAGCTTCCAAAGTACACTTTTCTCAACAGTATGACAATCCAAAAAAACAACTTTATCAAATTCGGTTAAAATGGAATCAGCTGCAGGAAGAACTTCATGCATGTGTAACTTACAGAATATTTTCTGCATATGCTGAAATTATACTTGACTACGTTGTGTTTTCTTAAGCCACTTGCTACTTGTTGTTGACTAGCTTCTACTTATTTCAGAAAATGGATCCTTGAGAGGAAGTTATACGTTGTGTTTTCTTAAGCCACTTGCTACTTGTTGTTGACTAGCTTTTACTTATTTCAGAAGATGGGTCCTTGAGAGGAAGTTAGCGGATTCACAAGTTTCGCAGGAGGAACAAATGAAAATAATCAAGGACCTAGAACGAAAGGAAACAGAGTACATGCGACTAAAGAGACATAAGATATGTGTTGATGATTTTGATCTACTAAACATCATAGGAAGAGGAGCGTTTGGAGAGGTTTGGAATTCCATTTTTTGTGTATTGTCTGTATTTTTGTCCACTGTTGTATTGTTTTCATTTCCTTTTTGTAGTCATGAAATATTCAAAATAAACTTTGGTCATGCTTGGAGGCTTTCACACATTGGTTTTGATTTCCTGAACAAAGTTGATGAAGATGGAGTTGTTCAAGCTACTATATCTTTTCTTATATTGTACTTTTGCCATCCATGGAGCTCTTGGAGGCTTACTGTAGTATTTCTTACAGGTTAGGCTTTGCCGTGAGAAGTCCACAGGTAATATTTATGCAATGAAGAAGCTTAAGAAGTCTGAAATGCTTAGCAGAGGGCAGGTGAGATACATGAGAAGTTGGTATTCTTTATGAATGCTGAAATTACAGTTAATAAGTCATGGCTCTTTTTGTTAATTTTGCAGGTTGAACATGTTAGAGCTGAAAGAAATCTACTTGCTGAAGTTGCAAGCCATTGTATTGTAAAATTGTACTACTCATTTCAAGATGCTGATTACCTGTACCTAATCATGGAGTATCTTCCTGGAGGTGACATGATGACTCTGCTTATAAGAGAGGATACCTTGACTGAAAATATTGCTAGATTCTACATCGCCCAGAGTGTTTTGGCGATAGAGTCCATTCATAAACATAATTACATTCATAGGTTTGTTTCGTTAATTTTGGAGCCTTCAAACACAGATATATTATCTATCTGATCTCTATTCAATCTAATGACATGCAGAGATATCAAACCGGACAATCTTCTGTTAGATAAAAATGGGCACATGAAACTCTCTGATTTTGGCCTGTGCAAGCCAATTGACTATAGAACTCTTTCAACTTTGAATGAAAATGAACCTATTAGAGATGAAGACCTCAGGGAATCGATGGACATTGACGGTGCCTTTCCAGACACAGCCACCGGTGGCAGATGGAGAAGCCCCCAAGAACAGCTACAGCATTGGCAGATAAACAGGAGAAAATTGGTATCAACAGATTGGTCCTACTTTTCTTTTCATGTTGTTATGATGTTAATTTCTTGTCCTTTTCTCCTGCGGATTATGAAGCTGAACTTTCATTCTTTTGATTTTTTACTGCAGGCCTTTTCTACTGTAGGCACTCCAGATTACATTGCCCCAGAGGTGTTACTAAAGAAGGGATATGGCATGGAGTGTGACTGGTTTGTTGATGCAAACCAAGCTTGATTTTTATTCTTGAAATTGTGTTTAGTTTCTAGTAGATGCTATTTTATGTTGCTTCACTTTTGAAATTTAGTTTAAGATGTGTTAACAACTAATGATGGTACTAAAGTTCTTAGAAAGTACATTATTGGAAATAGAATTATAGGAAAAATATTAATTGGCTAATTAGTTCTAGATATGTTTCTCTTTATTTTTTTTTATCCCTCACAGCCTTAGATATTTTCTTCTTTATTTTATACTTTTTTTGTATTTTCTCAATTTTTCTATATGAATTATTCTCTAAGTCAGTATGATATAAATCAAATTTCTTCTACTCTTACATGGTATTAGATTGGAGCTAGTTATTGTTCCCCTCAATTTCATTACACCCACTCATATGTTTGTACTTGCCTGCCTGTGCGTGCATTTGCACTCTTTCCTACTCGGTCACTCTGCCCACACGCTTGGTTGTGTACGGGCCCTATTTCTTGCTTGTGCACTGCTTATTGCCACATCCAACTCAGCTGCTTTGTCTGCACTTGATCACTCACCTCCCACTTGTTGATGTGCTTGCGCTCATCTACACCTTTTTTTGTCATCCGTAGCAGTCATTAGTGTCTAGCCTATGAGCATATTTTTTTCGTTGCTTGTGCCTTAATGAGCGCGCACAATCATTCATACAACTCGTCCTCACTTTTTGTTATTTATCTTTTTTCCCTTCGTGGTGTGTTCTTTTGAACCCTCACTTATCTCTTTGATCGGCGTTCCTATTAGATTCTTTGTGCCTTTCTCATTAGCGTCATGTCCTCATAATATATTAGTTTCGATCATCTAAAGCATGGTTAGGGGACTTTAGGTACGTTGAAGCTGGTGCTGAGCAAAATATTAGGTATAAAGCACCCTCTGCACCCAATCACAATTGGGCGGGAATTGGAAGGGAGAGAGGTCCCGCTCTCAACCATGATTTAGACAGAGTTAGGAGGGAAGGCGCCTTTTTACCTCTCAGCTCCCTCTGGTGAGATGGAATCTATTACTAAGAATTATATATATATATATATATATATATATATATATATATATATATATATATATATGTGTGTGTGTGTGTGTGTGTGTGTGTGTGTGGGTGTGTGTGTGCGCGCGCGCGCGCCTCTTCATGACATTTAAATGGCTATTTCCTTCGAGTCTAAGAGGAGAAAAGAATGAATGAAAAGATTTAGTTAATAGCAAAAACCTAAAATAGTTTCTTGACTATCAACAAGTGACCAATTTTGTCCCATGAGTTATAATGCTCCAATTTAGTCTCATACTAATATATTATTAAAAATATATCCGAATTAGTCTTTAGGTCAAATTTTCGTTGTTGCATCATGTATTTTTTGCCAGTTTGATCGCGGCCTTGGTTTTGACCTACAAAAACCACGATGAAAGCCCTACTTCAACCCACATCGGTTAGACCTCGAGAAGTTGCACTTGGAGCAAGTTAAAATAGACATTGACGTGACCATCAATGTGTGAAAGAAAAGAGGATTTTATCGAAGGAGCAGCAGATAACCTTGTCTTTCCCTCCAGCCCTCTCGCGTGCTTTAGTTTTTAATCGGATTCAAGGCGAAGCAAAGGAAAAATGGGATTTACGTTCCTATAGGTTTTAATTTTTTTCATTTTTGCTATAATTTGTTACCCATTAATATAGTACAAGAATATTTTTAACCAAAGAGGAGACAAACAATTTTTTACAAACAAATATGATTTATCCCTCATTAATTTAATGCTAAAATAATTTATTATTTATTTGAAAATTTAACCATGAAATTCGGTCTAAGGACTAATTTAGATCAATTTTCAATAGTTTGGGACAAAATTGGAACACTTTAAAACTCCTTGATATCCAGGGGATTATTTTGAGCATTTTTTTCTTTATTTAACATTGGAAATTTACTTTGGTTGAAAGCATAGTTGATGGTAGAAATCTAGATTCAAGGGCCTGTAACAGTGAATCTGTGCACATGATTATCATTATGTTTATTTTGTGCAGTCTGTTTTTAATATTACTGCATAATTTAATTTGCGTCATTACTTTGCGATTGCATAGAAACTTAAGCTATTATGCTTTAAAATATAGGGTTTGATTTGTCATATTTTCTTCTCTGATGAACTTTCTTCAGGTTTTCATTGGGTGCTATAATGTATGAGATGCTGATTGGTTATCCACCTTTCTATTCTGATGATCCAATAACAACTTGTCGAAAGGTAATTTGTGCTAATTCCAGGCTTTTCCCCCCCTCCCAGTTGTATTTGATTTTAATGAAAATTCTCTGTTTTATCTTTGAGGAACTCGCTTGTATTTTATTCTCTGCTTTGAAGCTATTCACTTTCTAAAACTAGCTGGATGAAATTATTGCAATTCATCTCCAGTGCAACCTTGCAATGATGATCTTTAAAATCAATGGAGTATTTTTGCTAACAGTATTAATTTGAATTTTATTTTTATACTTTTTAGGTTCCTTTTTTGTAGTTTGTAATTTGTTTTATCTATGAAAATCATTTTTTAATCATAAATTAATAGATCTTATTATAATATCATTTGCTTGATTGTAATTTATCCATCATAATCAGTTGATATTTTATTATATTGAAATAATTGTGATTTCGTTGCCAATATCTTTCCATCTCAGTATCGCAGGAATTCGTTGACAATAGTTTTCATTTACAACAACTCATAGATAGTAGCTTTCCTTCTACAATTTTGTCTATAATAGATCCAACAATTTGGGGATAGCTACTTTTCATCAATAACAATCTATCAATTTGTGGACATTAGCATTCCATTTCTGCTATACAGTTAATTCTGGATTATAAAATTAAAGATTGATTGTAAAATTTGTTCATTTCCTTAATAATTACTTCTCTATCTACTTATATAAAACTTATCATCTTATTTTCTACAGTCATGCTACGTTGGCACCTAGCCTAAGGACAAATTTGTCTTTTGTATTTCTAAGGGCAATTTAGTCTTTTATTTTTGTTATTGTTGGGTATGTTTATACATGAGATTGAATTATGTATCTTAGGTTTAGGGTTTGGAAGAGATTTCTTACCTCTCAACTTTTAGGTGTTTATCTTTGTATTCTTATTAAGTTATTTGAATTTTTGAAGAAATATTGTGTTTGCCCAAGTTTCTGTGGAAAAGCATGCAGATTTTGATGTAGGATCGTATCAGCAATCTTCCATTTTTTCTGTCCTCCTTCACTCTAATTTTCAGAAGGATATCAGAGCAGTTATGGTTTTACTTCCTCTTGAGGCTAAATAGTCTTTCAATATGGAATCTCTTCTCCTTTATCAATTGGCCATTCACCAATATTAAAAGCCGATCTTCGTCCAACAAAGATAACAAAAACACATATGAAGGATTCTCTTGGAAAGAAGATGATGACAAGTACTTTGAAGAGAATGATGGCAAGTTGCACAACCACAAAGAAGCTAGTGGTCAAGATGCTTGCATTTCCAACACTGTAAATGGACTTCAAAATGGAGAACCCAGATACAAAACATGAAAAATTTTGACAGAATACTGGACTGAAAATTTCCGCAGATAAATAACAGAAAAGTTAAGTCGCTATAGCTATCCTTTTTTAGTTCAAACATGTGGACAACAAACCAAAGAAATAAAGGCTTTTTTTAGTAAAAGCTTATTTCAAATCTTGACTAAAATAAATTTGGTTATTTAAAAAGATACTCTGGTTGCCCTTGTTTTGCGCGGCAAGAAGGAAATTACTTAATATGTAGATAGTAGACTTGGGAGCTTTAGATCATATGATCGAAGACAAAATATCTTCCACAATTACAAATCATGTCATAAAAATTATAATATCCAGGTTGTAGATAGGTTGCTATCATATGGGGTTGGATTAGGCTTCATAGTTTTATGAAAATATTTGACTCTTGATTTTGTGCTTCTAGGGCCAAATCTTGATAGCAATTTATTAACAATTCTCAAGCTCATTTGAGACAATTTTTTTTTTTTTAAATTTCTCATATAATCGTTGTAATTTTAATGATTTGAGCTAAAAAGGATAGGTGGTACTGCATAAATGTAACCTGATTCTATTTTCTAAATAATGATTCCTCGTAAGGCGCATGCTCAAGTAATGGGTTGTTTATCCACCAAAATACTGATACCAATCTAGGTTATTAAATCATATGGGATGATCAAGAGAGGGTTTAGATAGGTTGTAGGATGAGAAGGATGTTGAAAAGATGATGACAACAAATAAATTGGGATTCTCGTTTGCTGGACAACAAGTTGGAATAAGAAAACTTCAGGTCGACAATGAAACTGGTAGAGTATAAGGACTCCAAATGTTTGAGAGTGATTACCATCTTGATACAATCAAACTACAAACTCAATACCTGAGAAAGATATAAGGATACGACACTTGTAAAAAAAGAATTGGAGAAAACAATTTCTATTGCATAAATCATAACCCAAAAGTCTCAAAACAGGTTCCAAGCAACATATACTATAACACAAATTAAACACTACTCACAATCATATGATAAGCAAGAGCCCACAAGGTTGGTTGTCTAGCAACAGAAGGGAAATTTGCCGCTTCAGTTCTCATTGAAGGGAATGTTGTCCCAATTTCAATTCAGCATACACGGGGATCTTGAGTCCTTTATGACGTAGGAGCGCCTCCTACTCCCGACACGAGAGTCCCACAGATGAAGCTGCATCCCGCGAACGAAGCCGCGACCTGATTATAGTTTTTGAACCAGGCAGGTCCATGTTTTGTCCTTGTTGAGGAGTTGGCCGGTCCTCTTGGGGCTCTCCTAGTCAACCTATTATTATATATTTATTTTCATAGGAGTCTAGGGTTAGTTTTTCGTGTATGTTGTATCGGGGCAGCCTCCGAAGTCTCTTTTTCTCTTCGAGGGCTGTATCCTAGGATTATCGATGGTGCTTCAGTTGTATCTTGGTCTCCATGTGGTGATTATCTTCCTTATGCCCTTCACTATCCTCTCCACGTCGCTGTCAGCCGCCCTCTATCACTGTAGCCGCCCAGAACAATGCTTGTTTGCTATTTTTTTTGGCAGATTTCCTCCTTCCAGCCCTTCCTCTTCGCCGTCATTTTTGTGTCAACCCCCCATCTTCTCTGCTGCTGCTGTCTAACCCTTCTTCTCTGTTGCCGCCACCATTTCAACCCTCCCTTACTGCCATCACTCTGGATAGGCCTCTCACATTGCTTCTTGTTGTTTTTCTGTTGTCCGACACTGAAGAAACAACCACCTTACTGTTATATGCTTGCCAACCGTCTTTCCACCCCCGCACCACCTTCCAAAACCCTCAATAACCACCTCCACCATCGCAAAATCTACACTAGTCGTAGAGTTTGTGATGTCTATTGCTATTTCAGATTTTTGGGTGTCGGGTTGTATTTTTCCTTTCAGATGTATTGGTTGTAACTGTCTATTTGCTTTCAGTAGTAATATTTGTTTTTCTTATTATATTGTAGGTTAACTTTGGTATCATTTGATATCAGAGCTAGCCCTTCCACTTCGCTCCTTATGTTTTTTGGCTGCCTGACACCGACGAAACAACCACCTTATTGTTATATGCTTGAAAACCGCCTTTCCACCCTCGCACCACCTTCCAAAACCCTCAATGACCACCTCCACCATCCCGGATTGCACACTAGTTTAGTGTTTGTGATGTCTGTTGCTATTTTAGATTTTTGGGTGTCGGGTTGTATTTTTCCTTTCAAATGTATTGGTTATAACTATCTATTTGCTTTAAGTAATAATATTCACTTTTCTTTATTATATTGTAGGTTAACTTCAGTATCATTTGGTATCAGAGCTAGCTTATTCGTAGTCCTACCCTAGTTTTTCCAACATCCATCCTGATACCGGAGGAGAAAACCCATACAACTAAAGAAATACATATTATTACCGAATTTGAAATTGATTACAATGACTCTTCAAAATATGAAATAAACGACAGACAAATATAAATACACAAGCCAACACCTCGAAAGTGTATCAAGGGCAGTGGAGGTTGGCCCAGTGGATCCGGAGGCTTGGGGATAGCAAGTGTGGATATGGGAGAGGGGCCGACAGGGGTTAGAAGGTAGACTAAAGGAGGGATGAAACAGGTTAAGGTGACGAGAAGGTTTGTTGGGCGGCTGGGAGGCAGGTTGGAAGGTGGGGTAGTAAGCTGGGAATTTGTGCAACAACAGGGAAGGTTTGTCAGCACTTTCAGATGGTGGACAACGAGCGGGGAAGCACTGTCAGTGCTGGGAAAGGTCTGGACAACAAGGTAGACTGTTGGAAGTGGGTCGGCTAAGTGCTGGAAGAAATTCTGGGCAGGTGGACAACAAGATTGGGTTGTTCAGGAAGGGCAGCTGAATGTTGGGATGGAGTATGGGGAGTTGCGGCCTGTCGGGAGAAGGCTGGCAGTAGGTTAGAGACAACAACCGATGGTTGTTGGGGAAGAGGTGTGGTGGCTTGCTGTAGGGTCGGGAAGAGGGTGAATAGTAGCAAGAAGGGTGGAAGGATAGATGAATATCTCATCCGGGTCGAGTTATAATCGGAGCACCACCCGGGCCCGTGGAGAAGATCACCACCTTGGATGAGGGACAGTCAGAGCATTACCTCGATGTCATATACAACCCTCGAAAGAAAAAAAATATCAAGGCTAAAACCTGATTTTAGATATAAAAAACACGACCCCTAACTTTAAGCACACATCTCATATTTATGAAGAGGCTATACTTATTTTAGGTAATGAAAATAAGGATGGAGAATAGAATATAATCAGTTTTTTCAGATTTTAGGAAAGGATTTAAAATAGAAAAATGCTTAGGAAGGAAAGATTGAGGGGGAGAGAAAAGAAATATGAGGAAGGAAGGAGGAGGAAGAAAAGGACATGGAAATGAAGGAAAAAGGGAAGGAGTGAAAGGAAGAAGGGGAAGGAGAGGGCACGGCCCCCCTCCCTTGAGGACCGGTCGGTCCTCCCCCGAGCTCTACGTCAGTCTCCTGAGGTTGGAGGGGCTTTTACTTCATCTGTCGAGGCTTTTAGTTCTCTGTGGCTGTTACTGGATCCCACTGATGACTGCCTTGACTCCCAAAGCATCTGAGGAGTTTCTCCCATCTTCGAGCATACCTCCTTATCGCTCTGTTTTGGTTTGGCATAATCTGAGCTGAAGGCACACATCGGCGTAATTTCTCCTTGGCCAAATTTTGAGCAAATA